ATATGTTACTTTTAATAGTAGAAGATTCGAAACCAGACTTTGTTTACATGGCTTATGAATAATAGTGTACTTTGTATGACACCTCAGGTATATAATAAAATTCCAATTGAAATTAGAAAATCTGAAAGCCCCACAATATGTTTCGCTCTAAATTAAAGAATATGTTACTTAAAAAAGCATTAAGGAATATTTAGAGGACAAATCTGTGTAAATGGATGTACTTATGTGTTTATTTTAATTTGCATGCCTTGTGGTGAAAGGACATCGACGAAATCGGCCCTAGCATGCCCAAAAGAATGTCCTTCACTATTATTTTTATATTATTTTTTTAACTTATTAGCAATAAATCATTGTAAACGGACAATCTGCTTAAGAAAATAAAAAATAAAAGTTCTGTTACTAGATACTACAGTCTGTTCATCCAACTTGGCACTCCTTTTTATTGAAAATACAGCATTAAAAATCAACTGATAACTAGATTCAATAGGTTTCAGTCTATAATAACGATTTATTTTAATAGTTTATTGGCATCGTTAATATTTTATTATTAAACGGGTGATTCTGTTAAAAAGTTGTGTCAAGATTGTTTACCTAATGAATGCAATATAGGCGACCATAGGTATTTATCAACATAAAAATAGAACTAGGTACGTTAGTCAATAATAGTTATTACTAGTATTTATATTATATTTATAAAAAGATTATTGCTGAAATTATGTAAATATAGTTTATACTCCCATCCCATGTAATATCTGTTTATTTTTATGAAAATCATATTGATAACCAGGTACATATCTAATTACCGATAGTAAAATATAGAAACAGGTAAATGGAAAGACTGAACATTTCATTTGAAAAGAAATCTATTATTACCTACTACAGGTAGGTATAGGTATCATAGGTGCCAACTGACAACACTCATAAATCAATATGAATATAAGCATTTATTATTTTTATTATTAATTGCATTTTATGTTCATTTAATGCATATTATTTCAGTGCTTACATAGAGGTAAAAACTAAATCTATTCAGAATATATAAAGTGTACATCTTTTACGATTAAGTATAATAATTATAACCTCAAAATCTAATACATTCTGTAGTAGGCCACTGTTCCTCAAGTTGTCCGTATCTCAATAAATGCTTAATTAGAGTTTATGAATGATTCCGAACACAACTAGCATTTTCTCATTGCTGGGCGTTATAGGGCATTCAATGTATGGGGAACGAGCAATGTCCTTTGGAATAAGCGTACGTATTATAATCTAACACCTTTGTATCACCTGTATTTGCAAATAAATAATTGATTGATTGATTGATTGAAAATGTTTTTTTTTTCTAACATCCTTTGTCATAATTTTGAGTAAGCTTGTAATATACGAGTACCTACATTGGATTAATTCCTGACAATATTTGTTAAATTTATCTTACACTCAAAATGAATGTACTTATTCAAAATTTTATTTTAATAACAAGGTCATGTTATATCGCTGGTATATAAATTAAAAGCTGATGAATTTTTCCACCCGTCTTTTGCAGATACAAGATGTCCTGAAATGGTGATAGGAAACAAAATATAAGATAAATATTATAATAATAAAAGAGCTTTTCAAATAAAGAACTCATTGGAGCTTTAAATAAGTCGATTTTAATAAAGTATTTCTTGTTTCAGTACTTTTTTAATTAAAACATATGAATGAATAAATAAATAAATAAATATTTCCAACACTCACACCAATTAGCCTAGCCCCGAAGTAAGCACTCCAAGGCTTGTGTTATGGGATACTAGGGACTAAGTATATTTATATATAAACACATATTAAACATCCATGAGTGGAGTACAAATGCTCGTATTCATCACACGAACATCTGCCCCCACCGGGATTCCAACCCAGGACCTCTCGAGTCGGCGACACCATGAAACCCGGCGTACAAACCACTCGACCACGGAGGTCGTCGAACATCATATACTCACCCTGTAAAAACTACTCGTTCATAGCGATACAATATGTTAATTATTTTTTAATATACTAATATTGTTCTTCATTCATTCAAAAAGGAGAACTTAGATTGAAAAAAAGGTCCCAAGCATCCGTGCAGCCAGTGCTTATTAAAAAAGAAAACAGTCATAGAGCACGAATGCCTAATGACTCACGCTTTTCACACAAGCAAGTGATGGCTGAACAAGATCAGTCGTCGGATGCAATTAGAACAGCCTTGATCTGAGCTCCGATATGGGATAATGGTATCCCCATTACAGAGAGAGCCGAGTGGTGCCCGCGCAGACATGATTTAAACCAACGTGTGATAAGCGCATTTGGGATCTCCGTAGTTTATATATTAAGCACTTTATATCTACTTTTAGGGTTCCATACGTTTTTTCCATTATTGTTTTTAATTTCGTATAAGGCTCTCAAAGCCTATATTGTTTTTATTTTCGTATAAAGCTCTTAAAGCCTTATACCAAAATAAAAACAATAATCCAAAAAAGTGCAGGCCGCTCCTCGAGACACGCAGCACTTAACGATATCATACGCCGGTCTCTAGCTATCGTCAACGTGCCAAGTCTACTTGAGCCAACTGGTATTGCAAGAGACGATGGCAAGAGACCGGACGGTATGAGTTTGATTCCATGGAAGATGGGTCGGGTGCTAGTATGGGATGCAACCTGTTCAGACATCCGCCGAACTATTTTTGTCTATAGGAATGATGCTTAACTTTTTTTCTTTGTCTATCAGGTTTACATAATCATAAAATTACAGAAATAAATTGATGACCTCCGTGGCTGAGTGGTTGTACACCAGGTTTCAAGGTGTCGCCTACTCGAGAGGTCCCGGGTACGAATCCCAGTGGGGGCAGAAGTTTATGTGATGAATACAAACATTTGTACACCAGTCATGGATTTGTAGTATTTATTTCTCTAATAATACTTATATATGTATCAGTATATGTATTCTACCTGTTACCCTAGTATCCCATAACAGAATTATACTGTGCTTACTTTGGGGCTAGGCTCATTGGTGTAAGTGTTGGAAATATTTTTTTATTTGAAATGTCGCATGACGTCACGCCTTGGTACAATTTTTACTTAGACGTTGACGTCTAAGTTGAGTTGCGCTCTTGAGAGCCCCCACTCCTAAACTTTTGCTAACGTAGGTCTAAAATTTAAGTATTATTATACATATTTTTTAAATTGTTTTAATCATTGTTTGATGTTTACTCTGCTCTCTTTCCGGTTGACTGGTAGAGAATGCCATACTGGCATTAAGTCCGCCATTTGCATTGTAAAGGCAATAAAGATTAAATAAATAAAGCTGGAGACCCGAAAAACGATTTTGACCTACTTTATCGAATAGAATATCAAAGTTTAAAGCTTTTTTTTACTTTTGAGTATTATTGTTTTAAAAATATTGGAAACCAAATGAACGAGAAGCTATCTGTACCCCTAGCACGAACCATTGTCGAATTCGAATAGTTTGCATACCGAAATGTCAATGTCAAATTTTGTATGGAAATTTGAACAGCAGCGGCATAAAGTACGTAACGAGAACTAAAATCAGTACACATTTGACACTAACATTTCTACGAATGCTATGCCGCTAGTATTTAATAAGGCAATCTTTTCAAAATTACCTGAACAACAATGATTACTATTGATACAGTTCTTTTTACAAAATTTTGTTTCGAAGATATTTACTTATCTACCCATATTAAATTGAAAGTTGTCATTAATATTTATTATTACGTACATTATATGAGAGAAATTCCACTATATTGTTAATCAGATTTCCTCTGTGAATAATCTACTTTGGGTACGGAACCCTGTATAGGAGAAATCGACTCGCAATTCGCGGGGTTTTTTATGATTACATACTCGCCATCTGTACTACAACTATGACACAACATACATTAAGTGAAGACGAATTTAAGCCAAGATTTACGTTGCAAATCTTACATTAAGAGAACGAGAAAGTGTTTTAATGAGATAATAAAACCTAGCGACAGTAATTTGTATAACACAAGCGTTAAGCGTCGTTTAGAATGGTCATTTACACGATTTTTTAATGTTACCTAACAGAAGACTACAGCCAAATTGCATTTTTTAGTCCAGTATTGCTGTAGCAAATACGGTTTTCAGGGCTCTAAAGAGTAGGGGATAGGGCAAGGGTGCTTGTTATCAACGGGTTTTCCGCCGGGTCTAGGCATGGTTTCTACCCGGGCCGGATAAGCTTGTCCACGAGCACGGTCTGTACGTTTGTACTGACTTCAAGAAGTCGCTAGAGCCGGTGTCGTTAAAAAAACTTCCCTAGTGTCTTATAGTTACATAACAGACGACCGGATGTGGACGCGGTTCGAAACCGTGCCTAGACCGGGAAGAAATGGTCTCGTTCACAAGCCCCCTAAGTCTAGACACTGCGCTGCCAATACGCTGGTTTGCTGCTTACTATAAGATGGTCCAATTATGCTTGTTAGTCAAGGTTTTTATATAAAAATAAGTTAAATACTTTACAAATGTACTGGTTTTTTTTTCGAAATATATATTTTGATTTTTAAACATTTTCTGTATAGAGAGAAAGTGTATGATTTAAACTAAGATAAGTATCGTATTGTTAGTAATATTAACTTTCAAAACCGGATATTAATTTTGACTGCAAAATAAAATATCAGCATTTATTATCTTATATCTTTAACCTAAAACTGTCCAACAAAAAACGAGCATAACAAAACCAAACTTTTGCTTCAGTCGAAACATTTCCAAAGCAAAAGTTGCGAACTGACTAAAGCCGCGCTTAATTCACTCACACGTAACATCACGTCTGATTTTATTATGAATTTGACACGGTCAGAAAGTTACGATTGTCATTGTTATTTATTATGTTCGTTCGTGGTGAAAACAGTGCAAAATGAAAAACAGTTTCACCCGCGGGTCACGGCCCTGTGAGAGTTGTGATAGTCAATTAAGATAGCCGCCGGCAAACGACAATCGCCACGTAATTATCTCGCTCATTCATCGTGACCGCACTGACTTACTGCATCGGCTCGGCGCAGGGAGGGCGGCGTCGTGCATCCACAATCAAAACTATAACAACAGGTTGCAGTCAGCGCCGGCGCTCAGTCTCCGCGCAGACCCCACGCGCCACACGCGACCGACGAAAGTGAAAATAGCTCGATGAAAATGACAGTGCTCTTAGCGTTTTGCATGCTCCTCGGAACCACTGCGGCCAATCGTAACGATCAAATCGAGAAATACGGTGAAACAGTGCAGACCTATCAACTGGATGTGCCCGGAAAAGATCCCATCACTATCATAGAAACGCTCACTGATAATAAGAAAAAGGACGCATCTCTCGATCTTAACGAAGAGGATTTAGATGTAAAGAATTTAATGACGCATATTATTCACGATGGGGATGGTAGTAGGCCGCGATGTTATGGTCCCTCGTGCCAAGCGGGATTCGACGGAGAAGAAGGACCTCAAGATGGCACAGAAGACTTTACGCTGGACGAAGAAAAGTTGAAGAATTATCCTGAATTTTCTAAGGATCGTTTACAAGCTATCAATGCTTTAGCTGCGAAATTGAAAAAAGAGAAATTAAAAGCTGATCGATATCATTACGTAGAGAACGACGAAGAAGAGGATGAGGATAACGGAAAGGTTTACACTACTTGGAATAGACTAAAAGTAAAGCAACATAAACATCCTTTTGATGACAAAGACGGCTGGGTTACTTTAGAACCAGTGGCTTGGTCTACTAGTAAAATATCAAAGTGGAAACCTAATGTGAAGAAACAGAAACCGAATCACTGGAACGACGATGACAATAGATTTCCCAGTGACGACCGATATACTTCTTATCAGGACGTTGAAAATGATTACAGCTATACACAGAAAAGGCCTAATGTGAAGCGACCAGGATATATAAACAATAAACTGCACATAATAACTAGTTCGGATTTCGAAAGTGAAGTGCCTTCGAAACCGACATGGAATAAAGTTCACCAAACATCTTATCCGTCTTCCTGGTCACCGGATGAAGGTAGGAGGCCAAACAAACCTCACAATTGTGACAACGATGACAAGAACAACGACGACGACGCCCCATATTACGGCATGTCTGATTCTGTGTTAACTGATAATCGTCCGACGCATTTTCCGTACGAGTACGAGGCTTTGCATCAAGCCACAACACAGAAGCGACCGTACCGAAGGCCGACACAGGTCGTGTACGCCGGCTCTCCTGAACTTGAGACAGACCGCGGGTCGAGGCCTCCGCACGGCGACGGACAATGGGTGCTGCTTTCAACAACAAAAGGTTACCGTAACAAGAAACGTCAGCGATCGATGAATCTCAACCGACCTATGAACGGAGACGAGCAAAATGATTTCGGTTCAATGACCTCGCATCAATCCGTGTCATTAACAGTGTTGCCCGTTGACAACGCGCATACGAATATGACGACGTCTCACGGAGGTCTTTTAGAAGTGGAAAAAAGTTTCGAAACAGTGGAAGAGTCAAAGCAAGCCATGGATAAGGTACAGGATCTAGATGTGTCTGCTTCTCAGAATAGGCCTGTGAAGACTAAAGTTATAAAGAGAAGAGTTTCTGCTAATGTGTCACCTGATAGCTCTACGATATTGGCGGCTGTAGGGGCTGGTATGGTGCCAGCTACAATGGCGATGGTAGTGCCAATGATGCTGGGAAAGAGAAGGCGGAGAAGAACTGCTGATGCGTCGGAGAATCCCAGTCTAGACGATCTATTCCATAAGTATCAATAGAAATGCGAATACAATTTACAGACTGATATTGAAGATTATTTAATCAAGCATCAATTATTTATTACGTACGTGATAACGATGCAGTATATAAATAATTGAAAAAATGTTTCGCATTGATATTGTAGTTGTTGTATATGATTAATTTATTATAATAATTGATAAGTATGATATGATTGAAATGCTGTGATTGTAAATTAAAATATTTATTTGCCTACTGCTTGAATGAGTGATTTCTGGATTAAATTTTTAGTTAAATTGTTTTCGTTAGTTATTGTAAGATAGTTAGGGTATGTTTATAAAAAATAAAAAATACGATTAAAATATGTATTTATTTTTCTGTTGACATTTATAATAACATACAAATAAATTAGAGTTTAATAATGAGAATAAATTCTGTTGATAGAGAAACCCTGTTTCATCTCATCATAAGTAAATAAATACTACATTTATACACCCAATTTAAGGAATATTGGTTTAAATTAAAAGTAGTCAAGTATTAAAAAAATGTGTTCTAGTACACCTATTGAGTACTTTCGTAGATCTTATTCAAGAAGTAAAACAACTTTATAGCGTCGTTTAATAATATGCAATTATTATTTTTAAATAAGATTTCTGAGACAGGATGCCACTTTCCATCATAACTTGATGAAAGAAAACGATACCTATTTTTTGGAGTGCATACGTAAATATTACTCTTAGCTTCAACATGTGAAAAATTGAGTTGATGGAATGTTAAGAGTACATACAACACAATTTGAATATTCAATATTCATAAGATACATAAAAAAGTAAACAAATTTACATACTTAGAACTAAGTACATTTCTGATGTTAAAATATAGAGAAAATTTCGAAGAATTTCCAATAATTTTTCACAAGCAATACAGAAAATTTCGAATAATTTCTAATAAAAATCGTAAGTTCAGTAGCTCTATATAAATATTTCGATAAGATATCTTTTACACTTTTTCTGTACCTATTACTTTTAAATCTAAGTTAGATCAAGAACTTTTCCAAGTAAACGACGCTTTTTGACAAACAAGACACTTCAAAGTCTCGGGTGTTGATAGCTTGATAGCTTTGTTGTGATCTTTTAATATACTTTTGGCAAAAAATATTTTATGAAGACTATGTTTTGCTTTGCAAATTTCAACTCAACTGCTTAGGTATATAGTACAGGCCACACCTGGAGCGAAACGAGGTTCGCTAACTTAATGCCACTATTCCACTTTGAGCGAGCTAAAAGATATCTTGTGGACGGAACGGATCGACAATATGATACATATCAATGATTTGTTGACCAACGAAGCATTGAACTACTCATACATCTTCGTTTCTTCTCATCTACTCTATGGACGCTTGTTAATGATTGGTTTTCCTGTCGGGTCTAGGCACGGTTTCTTTCCGGGCCGGTGTCGCCTAAGCTTGTGCATGAGCACGGTTTGAACGTTAGTACCGACCGCAAACCATCTCTAGCGCCGGTGAAGTTAACAAACCTCCATCGCGTCCCGTATGTAACTGATGACCGGACGTAGACACAGTTAAAAACCGTGCTTAGACCCGGGTAGAAATAGTTCGTAAACAAACGCCCTTAGGGAACTTAGCAAAGAGAACATTGTAAATCAAAATATGAAAGTCATAATTGATAGTCATGTGATGAACCTTATATATAAATAATGCGGTAGTGATATCCGGTGTAACCTCTGGCCCAAGCAGGAACTTTGACAGATCCGTAGACGTCTCGTCATCGGAAAATTTTGTACGGAACGAGCCAGTTTGTTCTTACGTCCGGTAGAGGCGCTGCATAGTTTTCATAGAAACTTTGACGATGCGGCACGATTATGGAGCTGTCGAAGTTCCTGCTTGGGCCTCTGATGCAGGCAGTTTCATGCTTAAAAGGAGGCACCATTTATACAGGTACTTGTTAAATATATATATATTTATTGTCAATTTATGTAAAGCGAAACGAACTTTATTTTTTTTCTTAACTTTTTTTTTAATTATTCATGACCATGGATACAAGTCCTTCAGTCACCTACATAAATACAAATCTTTATCTTCTTTTTTACATTAGAATGTCGGTGTGACGCATTCTAATGTTTCTTGGAGTGTTTGGCACGAAATGTATCGAGTTGGTTTTTTCGATAAGCTTCTATGAGGTAGACAACACTACAATAAAGTTCTCACGTCTACTTGACCGGAATAGCGTATATTCTTCAGTTGCGCAGACGGTTGTAACACAAAATCACACCAATTTTATTTCACAATATCCACTATGAACGAATTTAAGAATAATTGAAATAAGACGCCAACCGTACTCGATGAAATCTCGCCAAAAACTCAACGAACTTTGTTTCACTGCCGGTGTGGCCAGCGCTCAAAATAAATCGAAGCATTGTGTGATCAACTAGCACTCGAAACATGTCGAGTTACGCTCAGATTACTGAACTAAAGGCAGATAGAGCGTACGGAACACGCAATGTGTGTCACCAAAGCAAATACAAAGTCAATAGTAAAGACTTAAATAAAACTAGTTTTGACGGGTTAATGCACGAACTTTATTTATTTATTGACGTTACGCAGCATTTTCAGGTCTACATCGTCAGAATAATGATTTTTTATTTACTTTGTCGAGCTACCTTCTAGTAAAGACTTTTTGAAGTGAAAGTTCTTCACGCACGCTTGACTTGGGGGGTAAGCTGGCGAATGCGTTAGACGTTACGAAAAGTGTGTTCGGGTGAAGCGAACGTGAGTTGAGTGTTGGGGATATAAGCAAGAGAAAGCAGTGTGCGCCCACATTTTCTTTCTCCCTTTCTCTTATAGCTAGTAAGTACCAAATGAAATATGTATATGTACATACATGAATATATTGTACACACACATATATTTAAACATATATATATATATATATATATATATATATATATATACGGAGGAGGAGCTCGATGGCGCAGGTGGTTAGCGCGTTCGGCTGCGATCGTTAGAAACTTTCACACTGGTCGGTCATTGGATGGGTGACCAAAACTCTTCTATCTCCTCCGTGCTTCGGAAGGCACGTTAAGCCTTTGGTCCCGGCTGTATCTGCAGTCGTAAGGACCCGCGAATCCGCACTGGGCCTGCGTATTGGGTTATGGCGCAATTTCCCTATTCCACTCATAGCGAAGGCCTGTGCCCCAGCAGTGGGGACATTAATAGGCTGATGATGATATATATATATATATATATATATATATATTTATATATATGGACGGAGCTAAAGAAGTTTCACTTCAGTCGTGTGGTCATAAGCACGCTCGTTTTTTTGTCTTTGTTCTTTTTGTTTGTTTTTACAAGATTTGAACAAGGCGGCACGTATACGACGTATTCACAACACGACGCATTGTGGTGTACTGACGCGAATTGATATTAGCTGTTAACTTCGTATTCGCTAAGGTGCCACGGATTGCGTGTTTCGTGCGCTCTATCTGCCTTTTGGATTTACGCTCGTAACTAATATTTATAGAGCACTTCTCCCGGCCTGCTGTAGATGTTGCCTGTGCGGATTGCTTCCATCAGATACTTCACACTGAACAGGCAAACTATCAGAAGCACTGAAAAGAAATAATATACTTTTTTATTAACTGTTCAAAAGATTGGATGAAGATGGATTTTATTTCAAGTTTGAATTTGTTTTGTGTTAGGTATTTGGTTATTATTTTAAAAATGGGTAACAACTTTTCATAATGAAGACAATGAAGAACGAAGTCATTATTTGTGTTGGCGGTTTTATTTATCTTTAGTTATTTCAATTAAGTATGTCAATATAATGTAATCTTTAAGATCAGACTCTTTCACGTTCAAACGAGTGTAAATTTTCTGGCACCTGATGAGTCGCATAATTTTCTTTCAATGGAAGTGACAAATCGTTTTACGAAAGCACAATAAAAAAAACCATCCAAGTGCGATTCGGGCTAGCGCACGAAGGGCTTCGTGCCATTATCTATACAATAACAGACACTTATAATATCGGTAAAAAACGGTTAAGTCTATTTATACCGTCGAAAAGGAAATTAATTTTAAAAAGGTTTTAAAAGCCTTTTTCTAGCCATACTTTCAGAGTTCATATATAAAGAGTGTCTGTTCAAAAGGAGATATTTTCGTCATTACAAAATTGTTGACAAATGAAAAAAACGCCTAATTAAGTTAACTTAGATAGTTTATTAAATAAGTAAAATATTATCCTTCAGTAAAATATTGACAAAAGGTTATTAACTATGATGTCCTATTGTTTTATTATACGTAGTTTAAAAAGCACAGATGATGTAAACCAACCTAGACTATCTTTATATATATAATTCTTCTGTGAGTGTGTATGTCACTGAACTTCTCTTAAACGACTGGACCGATTTTGATGAAATTTTTTGTGTGTGTTCAAGGCGATCTGAGAATGGTTTAGATTCACAATTTTGTTCGCTGGACAACCCCTATTTTTTTTAGGGCGGTACGAAGTTCGCTGGGTCAGCTAGTCTTATATATAAAATTCTCGTGTCATAATGTTAGTTACCATTCTCCTCCGAAACGGCCTGACCGATTTTTATGAAATTTTATATGCATATTCCGTGGGTCTGAGAATCGGCTACTATCTATTTTTCATAACCCTAAGTGATAATGGTTTTCCACCTGTAACGTAATGTTCTGAAACCTACAAGGCGCCTTCGCGCCAAAATTCAAACTATAGGGTATTGTAACGTAGTGTTCTCATATGGGTTAGGAGGAATGTTAGCCCAGGAAATTGATAGAACACTACGTTACACACCCCTATTAAAAATAATACAACTCTAAATTTTGTCTTCTACCACCTGCCCCTATTTTTATGGCGGTACGAAGTTCGCTAGGTCGGCTAGTAGATTTATAAAAAAAACTATAAATTGGGATTGTGGAAATATATCCTTTTGAACAGACACTCCTCAATTATGTTTGAGCGTAAGCAACAAGTATAAAATAATGATAGATTCTCACAATCAGACGCTAGCACCAGACCCAGCTGTATCCAGCCGGCGGAGAGCGCCTCCCACACCACGAGGCCGACGGTCAGGAACAGGTGGAGGAAGCTGTACCCGAAGAACGTCGACACCAGGCAATGGTTGGCCTGAAACAAATGACAACACAAAGATTACGGTTTACTTCTGAAATTTATCTGTGGTGCGATCCAAGGAGTTAGCAATGCAGTGAACCTATATGATCCAAAAAAATTGTGTTGCCATAAAGCCTAGTCTTATTACCTACAAAAAAAAATTAAAATTAATAAAAATATCGGTTCGATTA